AATCGAAAAATCTGACACAAAGAAATGTAAGTACGAAAGAAGAATGAAGAGAATATGACCAATGGAAATAGGTTACCTCTCGTAGATGCATCTGGATTCACTGAATCAGGTCCTACATTGGTAGCCTCCCTAAAGTCAGCAGCTTCTGCAGGTTTTTCTACCTGGTAAGGTGAGTCAGGCTCACCAGAAGATACAAACTCATGAGGAGCAGGATCAAAACTCATCTCCCCTTCCTCGCGCTCTCCTGCATGGAATGGGAAAGCATGAGCCTAAAAATCTAAACGATCAAGAGAATGATCTATAGAGTAGATGTTACCTCTGTCGCTAGCAGGATCATCACCAGCCAAATCCATCTCAGATGCCCGCGCTGCAGGCGGCTTATGGGCTAATCTCTTCCGCCTATCAGCATGGACGGTAGTCGAAGGTCTTGCCCGGGCAAAAGGACGGAATTCCTCTTCACTGTTTGTCGCTGTCCCTGAAATATCAGATAGTGGTCAGGACTGACAATTCGGAAATGCAGAAAGAAAAGATGGGTGTTTAACCTCGCTCGAAATCTGCCTCGTAGTCTTCAGGATCTCCGCCTGAAGCCTCTTCAGCAGAACTAAAGGCCCTATGACCTTCTGCATCAAGTCGGCGGGTCTTGCCCCGCGCCCTCTGTGACCGAGCACCGTCCCGGATCACATGAGAATCAATCTGAGAGGCTTCTTCGGCCACCAACTCTTCAATAGGCTTCACAGGGACAGTCTTATTAGCTGCTAACAACCACCTGCAGCTCAAGAAAGTGAGGTTCAACTGTCGCTCAGCACCCGGGAGACTGAACCTAGCACCAGTGCAGCCTGTCACGGTCCATAACCATGCACGAAGACCGTCCACCAAACCTCCATGAGCCCGAAGCTGCTGGCGCGGGTTCCCAACATAAAGCTGGTCATAACCAAACTGGCGAGCGAATCGGCAGGGTAAATACGGCTCTATAAAACACTGATTCCCCACCCGGAAAGTCAAGTAGCCCGGCCGATATCTAAATAAGTGCGATACTCCCTCGGTTTCTCCTCATCAATCAAACACTTGCCATACCGAATGGAGAACTGCGGAAAGCAAGTGGAGAATGCCCAGCACTTGTGGACCTGTAACTGCCTCCTGATATCAGAGAATCCTCGGCCTTCCCACTCGCCATTTTCAAGCAGCTGTAGTAAGGGAACAGAGTGATCCATGGCATGCGGTACCGACATCATGTCAGAACGATGAAGGACGAACCAAGCCATCAAATAAACATACGGAAGCTCCACCTTAGTGGTAGGAATCTGAGTCGGCGATTCCTTCTCCTCCCGTGTAAAAGCGCCAGAAATCTGTCGAAGAACTCGATGAATGTTAGCCACCATCACCGGAAGAAGGAAAAGTTCCTTTCTGTAGGCAAGTTGAACCGCACGATAGAGCACTTCCAGTGGCAGAGCGTCACCAGACTGATACGGGACCATGCATTTCTTTAACCAGATAGCGAGGTAACCGGCAAGAAGAGTCATCGGACGAATCGGTGCGGTCGCATGACATAAGAACGATCTGAATTTAGTCCCTGCAGGAAAGCCACTCTCAGGACTGCTAATGGTATAGGAGTGGGCGTCAGTCTTCTTCAGCAGCTCATTAACCTCTGAAGGAGTCAGCGGTGCCAGTTCACAAATAGCTTTGCCAGAATGGCTCTCTAGATTCCTGAACAAATATGATGCGAATTGCTTCAGGCTCACATTTGATTTGGTCCTCTTCGCTAGGGGTTTAGACTGCGCCAAAGCAATGTGATAGTGACAAGTGAGGTCCCATAAGGTCTCGTAACGGTCGGGCATGCGATCTTTCAGCTGACTCAGTTCATGGTTGGAAGGAAAATACTCCTGGTATAACATCTGACCCATGGGCAAACCAGAAATCTTATGCATCTCATGAAGAGCCAAACCAAACTCTCCGTGCCTAGTCAGAAAGGTGTTCGAATCCGGATTATAAAGCTCGCATAAGGCAAAGAAATGCTTCGCGCTAACGGGTAAACCATGCATGGTGGCACGAATGGCTGCATAAAGACCGCAAGCATGCAACTCCTCGCTCCATCGGCTCAAGACGTACTTTGTCATACGAGCCCACCAAAACTAAAAGGAAATTGAACTCATCTTACGAAGGGGTAAGATAGAGTCATTGCCTTATAAAGGGTGTGACGTTTTGGCCACGTTGCGCCTTCATAAGATAGGGTATATCGATAATATATCCCTGCCTTATAAGGCACAACGCAGCGACAAAACGCCCCCTTTATTTATTATGAGATAGTGTTTTGACCAAGCAAAACATATCTTTGAAGCGTCGATCCTCACCAAGGAGAATCAAGGCTCTTCCCGATTGCCTCACCAAGGAGAACAACGTGGGGTTAAAAGGACCAATTTGCAAATTTTTAGGAAAAATAGGGTTAATTTGTAAAATTTCTATCTTCAAAGCGTCGATCCTCACCAAGGAGAATCAAGGCTTTTTCCGGTTGCCTCATCAAGGAGAACAACGGGGAGTAAAAAGGACTAATTTGTAAATTTCCAGAAAAAAGTGGCTCACCGGCATAAGAGGGAGGTGCGCCATCAGTCGGCACGGTAGAGGATTGACCCCTCGCCATACGGGACATAGAAACCTGCAATGTAAATTGAGGGATCAGATCTAGAAAAGGAAAAATCCCATTTTTTATCGCAATTCCACCCCTAAAAAGGCGAGCTTGAGGCATCAAATCACACCCTCAACCCTCATATGCGATCCCACGACTCCATACACTAGATCGAACATGAAATAGATCAAGATTGCGGAGGATTTACCTGAAGAAAAGCCCAAAATTCAATAAAGGCGAGACCTTTAAGGAAACTTGAACCACACGCTCGAGGGGCCTGAGAGAAACTTTTTATTTGGAATTTTTGGGGGATTTCTCAGTCCAAGATCCAAAGGAAAGCTAGATCTAATACAGATCTGAAGTTTGGAGGGAGAAAAGAGGCTTGTGAGAAGAGAAATCAAGAGAAGAGAGGGAGAGGGTGGCCGGCCCTAGAAAGAGAGGAAGAAAAAGAAAAAGAAAAAAAAAAGGAACCTCTTTTATAGCCTTGAACCAGATCTGGCTGAACCAGACCAGACCGGGCTAAACCAGACCAAGCCAGATTGGACCAGAATGGACCAGAATGAGCCAGAATGAGCCAGAATGAGCCAGATTGAGCCAAATTGAGCCAGAATGAACCAAATCGAGCCAGATTGAACCTGACTGGACCAGACCAGACCAGAATGAGCCAAATTGAGCCAGATTGAACCAGAATGAGCCAGTCTGAGCCAAATTGAACCAGTTTGAACCAAATTTGAACCAGAATTCAAATTGAAGCTGAATTAAGCATTGAAACGACTTTTGATCAACCTACGGTTCAATCCTTCACCTATTTAACCCCTCTACCATATCTTTGGAAGGGTCGGAGAGATTTTTGAACCCAAATACTGTCTTTTTGGCACTTTTTTTGGGCCGGTTCAGATTATTCGAACCTAAAGAATTACTCCAATAAGGTATACGAGTATAAACTATTCCCTCCTCTTTGTTGAGAAGTTTCTGGAGAATATTTTTCTAAAAATATTCTTAAGGATAACTCAACATGACTCCCAGGAGTGTATGAGTATAAACTAGACCTCCCCGCTCCAACTCCTTAAGAGCTTAAACTGTGTAGACTCCAAAATACTTACGAGTATAAACTGTGTTAAACGCCGGACAACGCGTCACAATGAAGATTCAAAGCCGTCAACCGATGGTCAATTCCATGTTGAAGCAACTAATTCGAGCTAAAAAGCCAGGAAATCAAGAATCGACTTCAAATTCAAAATTCCGACAACGGTCAGACAATAAATGCAGCACCGGAACCCTCTCAAGCATTCGACAAAGCACCGAATAGCCTGGAGGATTGAAGGAATCGAGAATAGAAGCCATTCCAAGAGCCCGTTACACCGATTGAAGGTTGGGACAGTCATATCCAAAGTATTCCAGACTCTTCTATAAAAGAACGAGACTGGAAAACTTTGGAGGGGGTATCTGTAGGCATATAAAATTGCTTATAGGTCCCTTGACACGGTTCAACACGAACTAATGAACCATCAGGCAACGTATCTAAGCACGAACGTCAGTCCACAACACCGAAGCCAAGTGACACGCAACGAAGCGGATTAACAAGGCTACGAAGCTGACGAACCGCACGTGAACGACGGAATGAATCCACTCGCGTGCGGAATCAAACCAACGGTCCAGGGAGTCAACGAGTCATCCAACCATATAACGGATTCGAACTCAGACACCAAAGCCGATTTACTGCCTAATCGGGATCCAGCTCGGCATGAGCCGAGCCACCCTGAGGTGGCCGCCCAGATCTGTGCCAAATGCACAGATCTGGTTGCCTATAAATAGGCGGGGTCATTCATCATTTTTGAGGGACTTTTGGAAAAACTTTTGGAGAGCCGAAACTCTGCCGGATTGAGACCTCATCTTGGAGTTTTTGAAGGCTTGAAGACTTGGACGTCCAGATCCGATTCTTGGCGAGCACCCGCATCACAAAAGGCAGGAGTTCGAGGGGATCGAGATCTCAGATCTACGTTGTTACACTCCGGATCAAAGCTTGGTCTTTGATCCCGAGATTCGAGCGATTGTTTCCTTGGTGAAATAATCCCTCCGGCTATTATTTCCTTAGTGAAATAATACTCGTTATACTGCGTAGATCTGTTCGGATCTAGATCGCGCGGTGGTCCACGGCAAACAACCCCGGCGCAGGCAAACAACCCACCCAAGCGAGTGACCGAATAACAGGAGCTCGCGATTTGTTCGACGAAGAAGAAAAAGTTGTAATTTTTAAATTTTCTTTTTTGATTTTCATTGTAACCGGATCTAAAAAAGACCGGATCTTCTGTAACCGAAAAACTGTTATTCAAGATAGCAATGGAATCAATGAAGAAAGCAACGATTTTCCGAGCGAACAATCACAGGCTCAACCTATTGTTAGCTGGATCTTGGAAGTGCAATTGTGAATGAAGCCATTCTAACAGGCGAATGTACTCCACAGTGGAAGGTGTTCTCTTGTTAATTTTATACGTTTAGTAAATTTTCAAATATTATCCTATGATTTTGTCTTTGTTATGTTATCTAATATATTCTAGCATTGTTGATCAAACTATAAGTGGGTACTTAGTAAATCAGGCTTTAGAAAGCTAAAGTCAAACTGCTCTATCCTTAAGTAAAGAAGCATATACATAAGAAAGAAAGGTGCAAGCTTCACAACTTTCCAATTCAAAATTATATGAAACAATGAGCATAAGTAAAATATGTAGAATGTAGTTATTACAAGTTACAGAAATATTTAAGTTGATCTGTTGGCTCTAATCGCTTAGAAATGTATAAAAGCTGTCTAAATATTCACAGATGGAAAGTGAATATTTTTGCAACATAATCAAGTGATTAAATAATATATGATGATTCCTGTCATCTATCTGAAATTAGAAATACTCCATCCACCAAAAGCATAAAACAAAGTTGTTATACAAACTTGTAGATGGTAGACAAATGATGAAGTTATGAACAAACTACTAGAAATAAGAGATTAATTGGCTGACTGTTGTGGAACTTACTGTGGTTAAAAAGAGGAGCTCAAAAGAGAAGGTAAGAACTAAGAAGCGAGAAAAGGACATGCTCTGGATGCCTAGGAAGCGAGAGAAGCTCAGGATGTAGGTAACATAATTGATGGTGTGGTAGTGGGCCAGTGCCACATGCTTTTTTTATGTTCTTTAGGACACTGGATTTTCCCATGCAGATTACGCATCGTGTGGACATGAGTAGCACTTTCTTGCAAAGAGCATATCTTAATGAAATAACATGATCCAAAAATTTGCAAATGGTTCCTAACGAACAGTCAGCAAGAAGTTCTAACTTTATTCACAATCTGATCCCAAACAAGAAAAAAGAAACAACAGAGAAAAATGAATCTGATCCCAAACAAGGAAAAAGAAACAACAGAGAAAAATGAATCTGATCCCAAAACAACTAAGAAAAAGTGAAAAAGGAAAAGAAAAAGGAAAAAAAGAAAAGAAAAGAACAGAACAATCTTTATCCACATCAGAAAGATTATCGTCACTCTTTTGTGATCTGAAGTTGAACAAATTAAAGAATAAATAATGAAATAAGAAAAGAAGATAATGGTAGAAATTATTATCAAAAGTTTAAACTAAAAGAGGGGAATGTAAAGTTAAAAAAAGTTAACTTTCTTGAAGACGCAAAAGAAGATGGTAATGACATGAAGCCAATTCCCCAGGAAACTTTGGAGTGACCCGTTCTTATGGAAGCGCCCTTTATTTAAAAGCTGCAGTATCAACTTTATTAGCATACAAAATTGCACAATTTCTCATCTCATCCATATTAGTCATCTACTTTCGTATGCTACTAATATCCGTAACCTCAAAATGTAGAAAATTCAATCGTGAATTGCGTTGTAGTAATTTAGAAGTCATTTTGAAAGTCCAGTGCATCATATATATATTTATGTACTTCTGTTTAATGTTGCATGTACTTGATAGTTTTAAGATGATTTTGACCATGTTGCATCTTCATGATTTCAGAATTTCTGCATGTTATGTTGATCAACTTATCTAGTATAAAGTAAAAGTTAAAAAAAAAAAATATCTAAAACTCCTGTTTTGATTCTTCAGAATTCAATTGCTGGACTAGGTGGTGAGGATAAATTGTCTGCAAAGAGAGATAAAAACCATATCCAGTTTGGCGGAACGAAGATATTACAGCACACTTCAGATAAGGTGTATCATTTTTTTCTCATTTAATATATTGTCCTTGCTGCATTGCTAATGTATCATCTACTTCTCAAAACTTAGTTATTTCATCTGA